AGCATCAGTTATAGATGTGTGTGACACTGGCACCTGAATGCGTATGACCGCGTTTCACTGTTTTCAAATGTACTGACGAAATTCATGCAAGCAGGTTAGCACTAAATTAATCATTAACAAAAATCAGAAAATGACTGCTGGATGGTGTTGAGTAATTAGTTAGAGATGTGGTTATCTGTCAGAATTGTTTTCTTAGATCTCTGTAGATAGCCAGGTTGGGACTCCTTTTCCACAAGAGAATGATAGCCTCAGACTCATGTTTGTCCGGCGATTAACTTTCTCCCCAACCACTGACCACTGAAACTCACCCTGTCACTTCATCCTGAGCAGCGAATCAAATATGCACCTGATGTCACAGTCCAATGAGGCGATACGTGCAACATCCTGGTCAAATAGCAACAATATCACCCATAATTAATAATATCCTTGATGCCCATATTCCTGCAGATCCTCCTGCATCCAGGATCCTTGCATAGGCTTTGTTACCTCATCGTAGTTGTAAAATATCATCTGGCCCTTTTCTGATGCACAGAAAGGCCAGAAAGGACCTTCACTCCATTGCTGAACACACTTTGAAGCCACATGCGTGTATTTCCATAAACCTTCCTAAAACTCCCACACTTCAGCTATTATTTCAACAACTGCTCTTCCTTTAGTCTTCTCAGCACGCAAGCATTTCATCTGGATTCCTCCTAAAGCATTCCACGGCAGGTCACCCTCTTCAACATGGCAGCTTCCCTAACACCCGAGTCATCATCAGTTATTAATGGTCCTCTGACTCCCAAAAGTCACTGCAGAAACATGTTCTTTCAGATTCAGTGTCCCTGACCTCACTGTGCACATGGTTTAAGTTCTTACAAGAACAGGCGTTCAGCTTGCATAGAAGGGTATTGCAAGTTATTCTGAAGAAAGGTTCCGTGGTCTATCTAGCAGTCGTATTGTGCACCAAATGTAACTCACCTGCAAGTGTTGCTTACTTGGCATTTATACCAGTGTGAGCGCTGTAGTATCATTATGATCCTCCTTGTGATCGAATCTGTTTCTTTGTTATGGATGGTCCATGTCTGACATGGACGGCCAGGGATAACTCAATGCCAGCGTTCAGATTCAGCAAGTCGTTCTTAAACACATTTCTCCAGCTATTTCCTTGTCCTACTATTCACAGCATGACACAACATTGAATCAGCAGACAGAAACCCCTTAGATATTCAGCGCCTACGCACAAACAACAGTTATAGTCTCTTTCTCTGCATCTTGCAGTTCTTTACCCTTGGTCTGGCGAGTGGTGAGCTTACAAGATGGCCGCACATATCACATGGAACCATATAACAGCTTTAGCCTGGAGGTTCCAACGTTCTTGATCAGGGCATGGTAGGCTGATCTTCTTTATGTACCCTCAAATGAAACATTCCTCTTCACAGATCTGTTTTATGTCAGAGGCCTCGCATGGAATATAAGGTGCTGCCTAATATCCTGCATGCATATTATCTGTAAGAATTCTAGCTCTTTTAATACAACAAACCTCAAAGTAGGGCTGATAATAGGGTGACTTTTTTCAGCATACAATATTATTTAAGGCATTAAGTTCTAAGGAAATAACAATAAGTATTCTGGGATTATCAGGTCCATTTAAATAGTAACAGAATAAAATAAATGTGTCAAAAAGAATTTATTCTCAATAGCATTATTTGGCACCAATGCAAAATACTCAGCACTCAAAAACAGAAATAAGGCTTCACCAGGTTCCCAGTCCTGTTCCTGTTCCTGTTCCTGGCCAGCTAGCTTTTAACAATATTGGCATTAAATGTGAAGGTTAAATCAGAAAAAAATTATTACCAACAATGCAAGATTGTTTAAAAACTGTATATTCAGTAGGACCCAAGGGCAAGGATCCAGGACCCCTAATACAGAGAATATTAAACCAAAATTGCAAAATTTATTATTTATGCACAGCTTTTGAAGTTTAATGCAACGTCATATAATATATTGTACTAACTGATGGAGAACATAGACCATGAAGGTAATTTTATAGTGTAGGTTGTTTTTCTTTTTATTTTATTGGTTTACAATCTCTGTATATAATCAAGAAAGTCTCTTTGACCTTAGGAACAATAACTGTAGTTTTGTCATGTCATTCATCACAGTACAGCAGTTAATATTTTGGAAAAAGAGCAATATGTTCTTTTCATCTTATATCTGAGACACGTATTGTTATGTGTATACCACAAAATAACACAGTGAAACCCCATTCAAACTAGTTTCATACGACCGAACAGACATAAAGAAAGGCAGTTTGTCATAAAATGCTGTCTATATATCTCCTTTAGTTACTAAGCAAAGATATAGATAAAAAGTAGTTAAAGAAATGTATCATACTGTCAGGCTTATTTATTGCGTTACCCTCGTGTCTCATAATGACCAGTTATCTCGCCCTGATTGCCCTTATGTGTTGTGCTACAGTAGTTGCCCTTAATATATAAAGACTTAGGGTCTGGTTGGCGAATGGAGCATTTATCCTGTTGTGGTCATTGTCAGTTTAGTGGCCCTGTTGTCATTGCTGACAGTGGTGTCGGTGGTTTCCTTGTAACCCAGTGTACTGGCCAGTAAACCTCATGACCTAATATTTGCATCCTGTTCTGCCTTTGCCTGGGTCACTTAGGCCTCATGTATATTTTTTTATACAGTGATCATCAAAATCAGCTCTGTTCTGTGCCCCCAAAGCAAGCACCTGATTTGGATTTGCAGTTGTACATGCCACAATTCCTTCTGAAAAACAATATTTTATTTATTTTACATTATTGTATGTGTCATTAGATTGATTTGTTGGTTGCTCAATTGTCAAGTGTGGGGTTTGATGGGTAGAGAGGCTGTATATATAGAGGCATCACAGTAGGAGACACTCTATTGATTCTTCAGTGGAGGCAGTGAGGGACAACCTATGACTACTGGCTATAATGTTTGCGTCACAGTGGAGCAGAATTTTTGTGCAAGTTACGCAGTCAGGCTTACACTGCAGCTATAACAAAGGCAAATGAAGTGTTTCAAATCAAATGTTTCAAGAAGACACCCTAGCACCACATTGATAAAACCAAGAACACAGATAATCTGTAGCTAAAACACTGTAACATCAGGAAATGCAGACTTGCGTCAGTGAAGACTGGAATTATATGAAATGCACCACTAGTAAAAACATCCTGGGAAAGAACACCTTATTGAATACATTTCCAGAGAACGTTCCGTTAAAATGAGCCATGGCAGTAAATACGACAAACTTCAAATAAGTGGGGTTCTAAGTTCCAAATAATTCTCTTGCAATAACTGTAGTGTTTATGGCTAAAATACAGATGCGTTTTTTTTTTTCAAGGACTGAATATGAAATATGAAATATGAAAATTGAATTTTTTTCAATGAATATTAACTATTAAAATACAACAGATGAGCTATTGCATGTATTTCTACATTTCTAATTTCTTCTTGTGGTGAATCATTGTTTCCACCCAGCAGTGAGATATTTAAACATTTCTGAGTATACTGTATATTGAATTAGCAATGCAGACTGTCTGTGAGATCCAAATAGAGTAACTGCAAAGTCATACTGTCACACTGACAATGCTTAAAGAGACTAAAGTATTTTATTTCCTATGCAATAATTTTAGTATTAAGTACTTTTCAGATTTGCTTGCTGATTTTAGATTATTCTATTCTATCTATTATGCTCATCTAGAACCTTAGCGATCTGACGCAGATCCCAGAATGCATCACTGCATAGGTAGGGTACACTGTGCAAGTTGCAGGATACAAACTCACTGACAATCACAATTAGCGCAATTTCATGTACATGCATTTGGAATATCGGCCCCCATGAGGAAACCCCAGTTTGAACGTGGCAACCCTCACACACAGGTTGGGGCCAGAAACAGAGCATTACTCTGCAGATATGAGGCTACAATGCTACGGCTGATACAGTGTTTCCGTCATTTGTTTTTTGCAATAAATACTTATGTTTATTTATAAAATCATTTAAGGTGCTTTTTATTTCTGAAAAATGTAATTAATTTAGATTAGACACTTGATTTATACTCCTACAAACTTTAATACTGTATTTGTCTTAAAATATGATGTCATATAACAGAGCTTTCTCAATATATTGACTCAAAGCTTCATATGCAATAAGGCTTTGCAGGTGTGACAGGATCTTGCTGAATTGCATACAGTCTTAGCTGTGAGACTTTTATCTTCTATATACTGATCAATGAACCACAATGAACTATTGAATGAATCAAATACTAATTACATATAATTAACATAAGGTAAATGGCTCATTTGTATATTGCCTATAGCAATATTTTTCCATTGAGCTAGGTAAGTTGAGCTGAGTCGCATAAAGCAGCAATTGATGATTTTTGTAAATTTATACATGATAAGTATATCGATTTCTATGTGTATCACTACATCATACTACCCCATACAAGTTTTTTTTGTACTTTTTTGTAAGATAATTGCAATATAAGCATGTAATTTTTCTTGTAATTGAGACACTACAAAAGAGAGGATACACTTCCATCAAACAAGTTTTTTTCCAGCTGTGATTTTTAATTTTTCCGTAATCACAGTTTGCGGTACATTGGCATAAATATTTGAATATTTTTTTATAGATTCTCATTTTTTTAAAGAATGTTCCGTACACATTTTGGATAATTTAAAGCTAACATATGTTTAAATTGGATAATGAATAGACCATGGTATATGATGTTGATTACATGTGATGAAAATTCATTTACGCCATATAAGTAATCACATTACAGATGTTGCACTGATATGAATATATAGTTTGCATATAAACTTTCTGGTAATGACTGATGGGAAGTGATGGTAAGCACAAACGCTAGGTCTAGCGAATGAGAACAAAAAAAATCTTTAGGGTAGGAACCTGAGTTCAATCCAAAGTCAGGAAGCGATCCATGGCTAAGCTAACAATTCCTTACATATATATATATATATTTACAGTACCAGTCAAAGGTTTGGACACACCTGACCACAGAAAGGTTTATGTGTACTATTTTCCATATTTTAGAAACTATAAAATAACATATATGGAATTATACACTGACCAAAGAACTATTAAGCAAAAAAATTTTGTTCAGACGGGGGTGCTCTGTGGGTTGAGACTCAGAAGGTTGTTGATTCAAATTCCGTGGTTGGGAGAGTCATGCCACCGTTGGGCCCTTGAACAAGGCCCTGAACCCCAATTGCTTCAGCGACTGACTGACCCAACTGTCTCCTCTAAACCATTTTCATGGGATGCTTTTCCAGCTGTCCTGAAGGAGTTCCCACATATGCCCACTCTCTGGTCAAATTCCTCCAAAACCATTCCTACTGTGTTTAGGTCAGGTGACCAGGTCATGTGATGCAACACTATCACTCACCTTTGTAGGTGGCTTGGCGTGTCCATACTTTTGACTGGTACTGTGTGTGTAGTGTATGTGTGTCTATATATACATATATAATAGACACACAAACATTCTTTTGACATTTGAAATTGATTTTAAAATTATTTTCTTTTTTAAAGATTTTGTAGATATATACAATTGCATTCACAAAGATTTTTCACAGTTTTAAGTTAGCAAGCTGCCTGTTACAATCATATTCCCACTTATCTAAAACCCCAGTCATGCCATATTTTGGTACTTTAAAGTAAAGTAATATATACATATGTAATATTAGCATTGTATACTGGGTATATAGTTACATTATTATGGAAAAAAGATGCCATGACTGTGGTCAGCATTCACTATGTCTGAGTGTGATGTGTCACACCCTACAAATGCATTGGCTGTATATGTCATATGTACTGTACTCAGTGACAAAAAAAGTTAAGTACCCAGACAGAGCGGTGGAAATGAAACGAATCTGCACATGATGAAAGGTCATGTGACTGCATTGCAATCATTATAATATCTGATCAAACGGACAACAGAGTTGGCAGTATGGACACACTGCTGGTCCCATGTCAGTAGGGTGTGGCACCCCCTGCCCCCCCCCCGGGCCTGGATGCATGTGGTGTTACGGTATGGAAGGGAGTCGTACAGCTGTTGTATCTCTCCTGCGGCAAGTCGGACCACAGCTGTTGTAACTGGTCCTGGAGATCCTGTAGACTGGCACTGGGGGGACACACTGGCATAAAACTAATATTTTATGTTAAATGTGGGGGGGGTCCAAACGAATAATTATGAAATGTGAGGGGGACACGTCCCCCTCAGATTTAATGGCTGCGACGCCCATGGATACAAGTGCCATGTGTGGATGGGCATTGTCTTGTTGAAAGACTGTCGCAGGGTTCTGTCTCATACCCTATGGCTCCCCACACCGTGATGTCATACCCTATGGCTCCCCACACCGTGATGTCATACCCTATGGCTCCTCACACCATGATGCCAGGAGTAACATCGGTGTGTCTCTCCACAACATTGGCAGGATTGGTCCTCTCCCCTCAGGGCCACCATATGCACACACAACGGTCATCCATGATAATGCAGAACTGAGATTCATCGCTGAACATGGCACAACGTCACTCATCATCAGTCCATGCCTCTCAGTTACAGCACCACTCCAAACACACCCGTCTCTGCGCTGGTGTTAACGGAAGCCTACACAAGGGACCGTGAATCCATAGTCCAGTTAATGCCAGTCATCGAGACACGGTGCGAGAAACGGGGTGTTGTAGACACCTGTGTCCGGATGGCAGGTGCAGATATCATGGGGTTCTGTAATGGCACAAAATACAACTATCCTCCTTTGGTGTGGTCTGTCTTGCGCGACCGGAACCTTCACAACGTGTGTGGGTGCCCTCACATGCCCATTGGCTCCAACATCAGGCGTCTGTGACATCTGCATACCGCACATGCCGGGCAATTGCACAATACAACCACCCAGCCTCATGCAAACACACAATGCGACCCCTATTAAACTCCCACAAGTGCTGGTAATGCTGTCTAATGCATCTACGAGGCGTCCTCTGGGTCCGGTGACTAGACACACCAGCTTCTTTCAAATCGAATTATCTAAATACCCATCGCTGGTCTGCATGTGTACCAAATTACATCCAAATCGGACCATTACTTCTGGGTGCTTAACTTTTTTTGTCACTCAGTGTATACACACACACACACACACACACGCACACACCCACCAAATATGCTCTTTATTCATTACAAAATAATAAGTTTACCCTCTGATACACAATAAGGTAAGGAAATCTACTAATATAAATAAAAAGTATGTAATTTGTGGCTGGAAGTACACAAAGATACAAGAAGGAAATTTGAAAAAGTAAAATAAATTGCATAACAGGAAATGTCTAAAACATATATTTACTTTGTCTTGTATTTAGTTTTTATATAAAGTGAATGAAATGTAATACTTTCTATTTAAACATTCAACTATTAACATTTGAGGCTTTTTGTTTTTATTAAAAGATAAACCACAGTAATTTCCTTTCAGTACCATGTTTATATTTGAAAAAGGGTTTTGTCATCTGTGAGCTCTTCCAGAATGGAGCTGTAGTGAGCTGGATGGGTATAGTACAGTAGAGATAAAAACTGTGTTCATGATGCTTGACTGCATTGCTTCAGTCATTGACGTCTTTCAAACATGTGTCTCAAAGAAGGAATGGGTGTGTGCTATGAGGGGTGTGGCCAGGGCAGATATTTCACCATTTTGGGGCTCCTTAGTGCTTGAGATGAACTCACAGATGTCCAAAAACAGCTCATGGTGCCCTTGCTTCCATTCTCTGAACTTCTTGGAGGTCAGTTCGGAGTCCTCAAGCACTTGATTAACAGCTGTCAGGTCTCCCTCTTTGGCCTGAGAGAATACGAGTATCTGAATGGTCACACGTCTATATCGATTTATCAGTTAGAAATAAAGCCTGTTCGCAAACACATGTTTATAGCTATTTCTCACTGAATGACTTGCTTTGGGCTGCATTTGGAGAATTTAAATTTTCCAATGTGCAAAGCAAGAAATCCTTAACGTTTTTCAATCCAGATGCTACATTTTCATTGTCCACAAGTCTGTGCATAATTGCCCTTTTTGGAGTATCGCCTATTAGTATTTTACCTTAAGGGTACTGCGTAGAATGCGGATATGATGCAGCTTTTCGTTGATGACTGGGTTGTTGCAGCGCTTGACAAAAGAGCGGCGAAACTCCTGCTTGCTGAAGGGCCGCTGCTCTCCGAAGGCAGACAAGCTGGCCTGCTCCAGCGTTTGGTAAAGTTCCTGCAGACCGTCGATGCTGCGTCTCTTATGCTGAGACTCTGAAAGAGGCGCAGGGGACATATATTCCTTCTGTAAGTAGTTTTCTCTCATTCAGTTCTCCTCACTCCAGAATTTAAGGCATCAGTTTCTAAACAATAACAATTTGCCAAACAGCATTCATTTGCCAAACAGCATTCATTTGCCAAACAGCGTCAAAAACATTTATCAGTTTCTGGGGTTACAAAAATTCAAAATAATATAAAAATTTATAAGTTATTTATTATTATTATTATTATTATTATTATTATTATAGTTCCGTTTTCCTTTTGCTTTCTGACGCTTGCCAGACTGTCACTGTAAATAAGAAACTGATTCTTAATGCTTTACCTGGTAAAATAAAGGTTAATGAATGAATGAATGAAGTGTCCTTCAGTTTTATTTCCAATTTTTTTATCTAATTCCAGATATCCTCCTGAGACCCCACCCATTCATTTATGTCCATTGTAGTGGACATTTTGTTTTTGCATTTATCTTTTCACTGATGTAAGGAAACCTATTCATTCCTGTTGTACACTAAAGAGGACATGCTGTGAAATTAAAAATAAAAGTAAATTTGAAAAAAATCTAAATTGTAAGATGTCTTATTTCCCCCAAAGACAAAGAACCTAAAATTGAAGGACACTTTTTTCCTTGGGTCTCAGGAGGATATAATACATTTTTCTAATACAATGCATAATAAATGTAATCATTAATATTCATTTTTTTTATCAAGCAAGCACAGGAAAACATTAAAACATATAAACAAACCAACTAAATAACTTTACCTAATTGTTTTACATGTTAAGGCACTGCGGAAATGGTGAGTGTTTGTGGATTATCACCAATAAGTGAATGAGATGCTTGTGATTGAGTGTAAAATATATCATCCATCCGCCTGGCACCTTGAAGCCTGTGCTGGGCAGTATATACAAAGCCAGGGGTCACCCCGACCAGGACGCCATCATAGGGCACAGTCACAAAAACTGAAAGGGCAGCTCAGAGATGCCACTTAGTCTATTGTATGAGCTTGGACACACACACCTGAAGTGGAATTTAGACTTCTAGCTCAGGAGCTGAGAGGTAACAGTAATACCCACTGAGCTGCCCTGCTACCCATCTGGGAAAGTCAGATTATCTAATTCTCATCCCTATCATGTGATTGTCCTTCTTGCAAAACCATTATCTAGCACAGAATCAAGATAAGACTGCAGCCTAACCCATGCAGACTAGGGATTTCATTAATCAATGTGCCTACTTGACCGTTCTTGTGTTCTCACGTACCCATGTGACGTCGCCGTCCGCAGTTCCACTTATCAAGAACCGAAGACGGTAATAGTCCTTGGATGTTGTTCATGCCCGCTCCAAATACAAAGGAAGCATCAGCTGCATCCTTGCTAAAAAGAACAACCCCGTAATTTCTTTGCATCGCAAGTTAGTTTCTGAGAGGTAAGTTAGTGAGAGCACTCTTGTCAAGAGTAGAAGTACGTTCTTTGTGTTACTTGGAATTGATGAACGTCCTCAGGCTTCAAGGCAGAGGAAACCCTGGGCCGCAGGCCACAGTCAAACACACAGTAGATCAGTGGTGCTCAACCATTTTTTGCACCATGACCCAATTTTTCCATGCCAGCTCAGTCGTGACCCTATATCAAGTATAGGTTTAAATACCTGTTATGTTCAAGCACACAGTGCAATCAATGCCTATCACACAAATCTGATTGGATGTGCCAGTGAATTTTAAATTAAGCATTTGTGGTTTGGCTTCTTGGATTGGTTGAGTAGTTTTGCGGTAAACAGTTGCAGACCCAAGACTCATTCATATAGGTTAATTCCACGACTGGGCTGGGAAATCTGATTGTGGATCAGCATAGGAGCTCGCTGGTTTTAAAATGCTTACATTTCTAACTTTGCCTCACGACCCTTTCAGAACTTGCCATGTGCTGCAGTAGATTGATTCACTTAGCCACATGTTTTTGGACTGCAGGGGAAAGGCTGCACAACTATGGGAAGGACAAGTAAACACGTCACACAGAGCTGGTAGCAGGCTTCAAATCTCCAGTCCAGAAGATATCAGGCTGCTCTGCATTGCCTTTCCTGTATACAGGGATCCCAGTCTAAGTCAAATGTCAAATTCCCTGACTCTTTCCTGGCTTTTACTGACTAAAAAGCTGAATTTCCATTACTTATAAATGATGGAAAAACAGGCTGCCTTTTTGCTGAGCAGACAAAATCCAGCCCCAGTATTTTAAGCCCATCAATTACCATTCAGGTGGCTGAAAGGGGCTCCCTCTCCCATATTTGACAGCTCAATAGTAGTTTTACAAACTTTGCATTTAGCTTTTCTGTCATCTACTCTTAACACCCAGCCTTTGAAGTCATGGTTTGCAGCCAGAGCTTTTGAAATTTGCATTTTCCTGGCATGTTTGCCTTGGGTACCAGATACTGCATATCTTGACTGAAGTGATTGCGAGGTGACGACCAGCAGGAGGGGTATAATTACTAATAACAACCACTCACACAATATGGGAAATGCATGAAATAACCCAATGAAGAAAAATTTTGTATGGAAAATATTACATTTTTATGAATGGCAACTACATGCTACAAACAAAAGGCTCCCAAAAAATGATCAAATCACCTGACTGTCTAGAAGAAACTTTTTTAAACTATATGCAAAAAATACTATTAAATGAAGATCTGAATAAATCAAGAAATGCACCCTGGAAAATTAACAAAAATATATATTTAGCAGACAGGGGATTGTCAGCAGTGAGTTATTTTGCAGGAGGTTATTTTGGAGAACGTCCATGGAGAATGCAACATGATATGCCTCACCCTCTTTGCTGCTGATGCAAACATCAAAGGCCACCTCATCATCCTCGCTCTTCTCCTCAAAAGGCCTGGCTGTGTGCAGGAAGCTCTTCGGCCCGCGTCGGCTGTGGTTCCGTGGCAGACTCTGGCTGCGCTGTTTGTGGGTGTGGTGGGGAACACGCAGCCCCTGCTCCTCATTTTCCAGTGGGGAAAAGTGGCCCTCACTGTCAGACTTGTGTCGATACTGCACCGGCAGAGTGGCTTGGCGCCATTTGTCAGGGGCCATGCCGAGCTGCTGGTCCCCGGCCTGGCCGCAGAGGCCTGCCTCATGACCCTCAGTTGGCCCCGTATGCAGGAAATGCATGCCTGAGCTGGTAAGAGGTGTCTCCATTAGATCCTGCCAGGAACGTCGCTCACAGTACATGGAGCGGCAGCTGGAGGAGCTGGCGCTGCCGAATGCGTTTTGCTGAGAGTCCTCTGCTGATAAATGTGAGTATGTGGAGTCACTGGAAAAATGGCGCCCGTGCTTAGGATCAGGAAAAGGGCTTGACGAGTTGACCTGTTGGGATTGAGATGGTATGTTGGCGTTTAACCAGAGGCGGACATTTCAGGTCCAGAAAGTAAAAAATCCAAACCAGGATTTTGTTTCAACCAACCAGTTGACTATAAAGAGTCACAATCACATTGTACTCAACTGGTTGGTTGAAACAAAATCCTGGTTTGGATTCTTACTTTCTGGACCTGAAATGTCGGGTTTTAGCAACAATTTGCACATGCAGACAATTAATCCAAGGAAAATGTTAGGGTCTAAGTATCATGCAGTAAGGGTAAACAGTAAGTGCTGAGTTTGTTTGATGGTACATAGGAATGCAACAAAATAGATAAAAAAGATCAATATATTTTATCCTCATATTTTATAGCTAGAAAACTAGCATGGCATTCAATTATCCTGTCAGAATGCCAGTCAAATGCTGCTCAGCGGAGCACAATTCTATTACAGACGTGAAACTCTCGCAGTGAAGGTTTCAATGCTCGTTAGCCTGTATGAGTGTCGACATACTCACAGAATGGATACGATGGTATGTGTCACACAGAGAAGATGAGCTGTCTTGTTTGAGAGTCATATAGCCATCATTATCATCCTGGTCACTTTCACTCCAGTAATCTAAGAAGCAAAGCAGTATATATGTAATAATTTGGAGTAGGATTGAGTACTGATCAGTATAAATAAAACAAGTGAACAGTACAATCCGGGGAGTAGCTAGACATTCTGGACCCCCCTGACAGAATATCACCGTGGGGCCCCCACCCCCCTTGCATTATATAATTTTATAATTTTACATATTCAAAGGGCACTTGGAAAGTGTTGGGCCCCCTGAATCTGTAAGGGTGTCCAAGCCTCTCCGATGCCCCTGAGTACACTACCAATTTCAAGGTTTAACGAACTAATGCAAAGACTCTTGAAATATTTAAATAATGGGATATTTATTTATTTTATCATACCTTCATCAGGGCGGGGCATCTCATCATCAGGTGTGTACCCAATAGCTGCTAGTCCAAGCCGATTCATCCATCTTAATGAGAAAAGAGAAATGACAGTACAAAATTCAAGAGACTACCTCCCATGCAAACTGATTTTATGAAATTAAAGATTATTTAATGCTTAATTCACAACATTTTGTTTAAAACAATTGCAACATCTTTATTGCTCAGATAATGGGACAGGTTGATCTGAGCTGGGGCCTGTACTACGAAGCGGGGTTACTGGCTTATCGGGGTAACTTGTCGGATTTAAGGTAGTCTGGGCAAAATGTAAGTGAACGAATATGAAGTCCATTTAAACTGTGGTACCATAAATCCGACAAGTGTATGGTTAGTGTTTGTTGTGGTGCTGGTCCCTTCTGTGCTCCTGTTTGTTTCACCCTGGTCCCTCCTGGTTGTTCTTCCCTGTCTCCTGTTTGACCCCTTGCAGTCCTTTTGTTTCTGTTAGTGTATATTTTGATTCAGTAATAAACCCTTTCAGTCCCTCTTTTCTGATGTAACTCTGTCTCTGTTCTAGTCTGTCAAACTTAGCCAAACTTTTGGTGATTTGGACCAGGTTTGTAACCAGACTTGAATTTCGAAGAGCATCCAGTAAATTTCAAGGGAGCTTCAAACTCATAATTTTAGTACATGGCTACATTATATTGCTGAAGCACATTCAAACATTTCAAGCAAATTCAACATATTAAATTACACTGTTATCACATTTTTTTTTTATTACTTGTAATCCTAATTCTAACAAATCGAAATCTGGGGTCATGGATGCACATGATCTGTTTTGGTAGGGGTGCCCCTTCACCCCCTGCTCACCCATGGTCATGCCCCTAGCATGGTAAAACATGTATAATAATATAATAAAAAATCAATATAGGGGACGTTATATAATTTTTTTCAAGGAATTCTTTCTAAATGCTTTGTGGATATTTTTTTAGTCCGGTGCCACTTCACAATAACACTTTGTAAATTATTAATAGATAATTTTAAACAAGTTATAGCACAGCTTTCTTATTAATGAATTACTACCATTTACAAGTGGCAAGGGAGCCTTATTGTACAGTGATACCTTTAGTCCAAACTATTCACATGGTTTTACCTACTTCACTGGACCCATTTAGCATCTGTAGTGCCAATGTTATAATGTTTAATCACTGTTAATGAGGTTCTGAAGGTGATTTTGATGTTTCTGTGCATTTACCAGACTAATATTTTTTATAGTTCTTTCTAAGAATTTCAATTTAAGAAGTGCTTATTTTTAGCTGAAATACCATGCACTTGATGCAGCTACACTTGATGCTCTACGGACATCATTGCATCATGAATGTATGCAAGAAAATTCCTCCTAGTAGAATATATCTGCAAAAAAAATGGGCCCAACTCAAATTGCACAACATTTAAGTTTAAACCCGTGTTTTTGTCCAGAACTGCATTTTTTATTATATGTGTGAGATAAGGGTAATGGCCATATACTATGACCAGGGACGGATTATGGGTTGTGTGGGCCCCTGGGCAAAACGTTCGCGAGGCCCCCCCACCACCACCACCACCAGCACCACCAGCACCACCACAACCACCACAATTCAAGGGCCCTTGGCAGCCAAACGCCCTCCCTCCATGTTTCCATCAGAGGCCCTATAAGGTCAGGGGCCCTTGTAGGCAGAGGATCAAAGAATGTAGGCCCTCTAAAATAGACAAACGAAAATACATTGTTGACAAGCGTTGCAAATTGTTTTGGGCTAGGGGCCCCACAGGCCCCCTGCACCCCAAGGGCCCCTGGGCAGCGGCCCCGCTGGCCCGGTCTGTAATCCGTCCCTGACTATGACACTGTAGTTACAGCTCTTACTTGAGAATTAAATAAATCCAGGTAAAGATTAACCTAGACACAATAAGAAACTGCTTGAAATGATGTGCTCACCTGTTCATTTCATCCAAATGGTCAGTAGCAAAGAAGAAACTCTTGATTTTAGGATGACATGCTTTGAACGCACTAAGAAAAACAAAAAGAAATTGTCCATGAATCTATGTTGTTGTGGCTAATTATCAGGAAGGCACTATAAATCATGCTTTTATGTCAATTTTCATTAGTAGCTCTGAGCAGACATTCATTTCTTGAGTGGATCAGATAGTCTCACATGACTCTTTGATTTCCGTGCCGAGTTTTTGTATTTTTATTTAACTGGTTTGATTTACTGTTCTGTTACCAAAACTTCACTTACTAGCTAGACTCTGCTAAAGGTAAGACACGTGTAAGGAGCAGTTCATGAATAACTTGATATTTTAATGCATTTTCACGGGGACATGAAGAATGAATCATTTTTATGTTTCATTTACGCGTTTTCAAAAAAATTTGAGTACTATTTAACCACAAAATATAAAAAAAACAACTTTTACATATTTCTTTTTAGGTTTATTTTGTGTTACTATGAAGTGGTAACACAACATCCTGACAAATGAACGTACTGCATCTTTAATACTGTAAGCATAAAACTGTTTTATTTATAAACTTTACACACTTAACCAAATTCTAAATAATTTTGATTTTTCTTTTAGAAAAACAATGCTTGGTTGTAAATGATTTAGGATTCTTTTAGGAAAACAATGCTGGAATGTTTCCATCATCAGTTACATCATTGAGACGCCCCATTTATATAGCAAAGGAACCATTTGCAAGAAAGATTAGTAAAGATTAAGAAATTGTGTAATCTTTTGAATAGCTGAATAAACTGCCGTACTTGACAACCTGTCATGTGTTTCCTGAAGAGGAAAGAGACTGGGTTTTAGAACAGCATGGTGATACAGCTGTTTAAAAAACACCTCCTTTTCTTTTCTCACCTTCTGTTTAGGATATAGGAAGGATGGCTGCTTTTATAGAGCTTTAAAGATATTTAAAGCAAATTCAGGTTTCAAAGAGCAGGCTGCAGAAACAGTTATATGAGAATACTCACAATTTCTTTCTGCATTCGACAGCCCTGTCTATCCTGAACTGCGGGAGGCTGATGAATCCCTCCGCTTTCTCGTCCTGTTAAGTTGGTATAGAGAGTTAAGTTGGTATACAGAGGGATGGTTTGGGTAGCAGCATTGAGTGGTTAACTACTGATGTCCTTCAAGTTTGCTGTTAGACCAAAACTATAGGTCTATGATCGTTTAACAGGTATTTGCATTATTTTAAGCTTGAAGTGTAAAAACTAGAAATATATATTAAACAACAAGTATTTCTATGCAGTGAAATAAACTTTCCAAGGCGCACAACCTGTACCTTAAGAGACTAAAAAAGTGACAAGATTTAAAAAATATATACATAAATATCATGACAGTCAGCAGTGGACCGAAACCGTCCCAGTGCACTTTAATACACAGTGCTTGAAGTGGGGAAAAACAGGTACAGGTACTCCGCTTGTTATTCGGTATCAGGTACACGTACTCCCCTTGTTATTGAGTACCAGGTACAGGTACTCCCCTTGTTATTCGATACCAGGTGCCGGTACTCCCCTTGTTATTCAGTACCAGGTGCCGCTACTCCCCTTGTTATTCAGTACCAGGTGTCGGTACTCCCCTTGTTATTTGGTATCAGGTACACGTACTCCCCTTGTTATTGAGTACCAGGTACAGGTACTCCCCTTGTTATTCGATACCAGGTGTCGGTACTCCCCTTGTTATTCAGTATCAGGTGCCAGTACTCCCCTTGTTATTTAGTACCCAATTGCAAGTACTCTTTTGGTTATTCAATACCAGGTGCCAGTACTCCCCTTGTTATTCGGTATCAGGTGCCGGTACTCCCCTTGTTACTCAGCATCAGGTGCCAGTATTCCCATTGTTATTCAGTATCATCAGATATTGAGAGGTGTTGATACACGGAATAGAAAAATCAATTGAGGTGCTGGTACTCTGTACTAGTGAGTTCCGGCCCACTTCAAGCACTGGTAATACATGACCCAAAGACTGATCTGAGGCAATTCACTCCACCCCTTTGGTCTTTTGTTAAACAAAGTTGCCATTATAAAACGAATCTATGAACGGCTGGGCGTGGCTGCTTACATTCTGGTTGGTGTACCAGTAAAGGGAGGAGTCCTTCAAAACGAACCAGTACTTCTTCCACTTCTGTTTGAAGTAGCCCTTGGCATCCTTCTTCTTCCACAGCCAGCCCTCACAGTCTCCATGGCCCAGGTCCTTGCAGGAGACACGTCTGCGGCTGATGTTGGGTACAGAGCCTGATGGAAAGGCAAACAGATCAAGGCAGACGTTGGAACAGAGGCCTCTCTAGTTAGAAAGACAAACTTTCAGTCTCTTTGAAACCCAAAATTAAACATGTTAAATAATACATTTAATTGTTTTTAGAAATTGTTGTTGAACTCAATTTACATTTTACAGAAGTAATTCATAATCCACAATCCATATAAGAGCGTATTAAACACCCCCCATTTAAACTCGCAACTTTTTTGTTCACAAATACAGTTTTTAATGATACTGTTGTAGTATTAGCACATTAGGCACACCGCAGCTCTGTTGTGTTTTTACAATGAATCTATCAATTATGCCTTCTGGAAGTGGAAGTAATCTAATATTGAGCGCAAGTATCTTTTTTCCTAGTGTTTATTTCAAAGACCTGCGTCTTTTTGCTAATTCTAAATATAAGGGGAGAATGTCGTTATACTCTGCTCCGAGTTAATGGTGCTGGAAGATTCACATGTATCTCTTACCTTTAGTTCTCCTTTTAGTTCTGGTTCGTAAGGAGGCATAGTGAAATGACTGAAGGGGGAAGTACAGAGCAGTGAGAGAAGCAGCATAAACAACATGAAGACTGAAGATCCCACGGTGATTATTTCTCCTTATCTCCTTACTAAGAGCCATAGTGAGTGATACCACATAAAGTAAAGCAACAGTTCATAGTTCTAAATAAACAACAAAGTAAAAATGAATAAAAGTTAATGTAGTTCGCAAACCAAAAAGATCTAACATTCCTTGCATAAAAAAGTATTGACAAATGCCTCTTCAGTGTGTGTGTTACAGTACATTAGTATCATTCATATTTCTATCTCTACACTTCCTTTTTATCAATGACTTTATCTTCGCTTCAAGCATACAATGACTTACTGACCTTCTTCATGGATGTTCCACCTTGTTTTTCAATTCCTGTATTTGCATATCTGTAGAAGGGAAATGAATAAATTATATAATTCATCTGCGAGAAAAAAGGTTAAGAATCTTTTAGTTCGTCTCGATTTGAACTGGCTTATTAAATGTGATCTCGTCTTCATTTAATATTGTGTGTATTTTATGTAATGTCAATTAAACAAGGCGACACATGTAAGTATTGCATATGGACACAGGCACAAAAACCCTAAAGAGAACACAAAAACACCTGAGAGCTGTTTCAGTGCGAAAATGGAGATAAGAATCAGGCAATACAATCACCTCAACTCTTCTTATCTGAGCTATCGCTTACTTTCTGTTTTGTGACTCTTAAAGTTGGCTTCCTGTTATGTCTCACTATTACATTATGTGCTGATTTTAAGATTCTAAGTGTTGTAAAAATGTACTTTTATTATTATGCTGAAGTATATTTTATGATCATGTTCGTCTGTCTCTGTACATATGTCTATTACCTACTGCTTTCAGGTTTGTAGACTTTAGCCAACATAACATAAGTAATATCTGTTCTTCATAAAGGCAAGAAATAATGGTCGTATGCAACCACAACTTCCTGTAAATATCCTGAAAATGTGCAGAGGAAACACATATACATTATGGCAGAAGAGATGGTTTGGCCCAAGGTATATTAGAAATGTATTCTGCATACAACCACAGATTTTTTTTTCTTCTGATGTACAAAATATACTAATTATTACTCTAAATACTTAAAAGCAATCAAATATTATGCCTTGAAACATGTTTGTTGAACATATGTTAGCAAGGTAAAGGAAAAATACATTAAGCTGAAAATAGTGCAATGCAGGAACACAATTTTAAGTAACTAGTGACTGCTTAATTGAATCACCCTACAAATATAAGCATGCACATTAATGTCATAAAAGTTATCTAGCTATTAAAATCACAGAAGATACACACAGACAGAGTGGGGGAAAATATAAAATTACTATTAATGTGTTTGAATAATCACACAAGTGTCTAAATACAACATAATGTACAGTTATTTTAAGTTTAATAAATACCAGTCAGAGAAGCATGATAATGCTGATCATGAATCATTCAAATAGACAACTATAAAAAGGGAAAATTATGCATAATTGCGACATTTTAAGTCAAGTGAGAGTCTGCGATATATTAGGTTCACTCACCGATCAGTTTCAACTCGTTGTGTGTCTCCAGCACTCTGCAGAGGAGCAGAAGACAAAGAAACGTTTCAGCCAGATGCTGTTTCCTGTTGCTGTGATGGGTGTCAGCAAGGCTTCAACGAAACCCTGCGGAGATGCCTCCTCAAGCCAGCTCACTCGTTATTAGATTTGTGATATATAGAGACAGGAATATATGTTCACATGATTGACTATTTCTCACTTCATAGCTTATAAGCAGCCCTGGTACAGATATTGCGATATCGCTCCAGAGAGGACTAGTAACAGCACATAAATTAAATTCTTCCAAATATACCAGGAACCAGAACGGTACAAGTAACTTACATGGGAACTGGAATTAAATTCACCTTGAAGTACTTTTGATTTGGATATCGGGACACCAATCTCATTTGTAAATCTTGGCCCAGGCCCTCCCCAGCTAGATTTGTTATTAAGAAACCCAGACGTGTCACAAAATGAGAAGGGCTATTTCTTGAAAGCGTCCATTACTGAAGTGGAACAGCTCTTGACATGACATCTATTCTTTATACAAACCACCATTCAGGGGCCTAATACAATATGTCACTGGATTCCCCTAGGCTGTCTGCTTTTATGCATTTATAATCGTACTAAGCGTTTGTTCTTGACAAGCCCCAGCACAATTTTCTGTATGCAGAGTCCTTGAAGGAAAAGCATGACTTTGCTATTACTGAACAAGTAAACACAAAGAGGAGGCTCACGGCACACTGATGATAAACCTATCTTAAGGATTTTGGATAGTGTATCCTTTTGAAAAAACTACAATAAAAAAGTATGTTACTAAATGCATTGCATTTTTTCCACAATAATTTTTGTGAACAAAACTGAATTAATGATATACTATGGAATATAAGTTGTTACCATAGTGAATATAATGTCAGGAAATTCACATGGGAACACAGGTAATGTGCTCTTCAATTGTGATGAAAGATTACAGGAAGAAGAATCAGGGCAATATCACATATCAGCATTTCAGCATCATCATTGCGCAGTACAGGCAGTCCCCAGAATACGAATGAGATCAGTTCCCTAAGTCTGTCTTTATGTCTAATTTGTAGGTAGGTCGGAAAATGAATAATGCAGTACATAATAATAATTATTATCATACAGTAATAAAAAAAGGAAAAAGTAACTACATACTGTACTGTTACTTTAGCCGAGGAACTGTTGAAGCTGCACATTGTTTCCATGAACATCACAGAGTAGTGCATGCCTTTGTTATTACGAACCATTGTATTTTTAACATAATAGGTTATATGACAGTCTGTTCATAAGTAGTCCATAAGTCAGATGTTCTTAACCTGGGGACTGCCTATAGTCACATAGCATTTGTCTACACTGCTTTGTATCTGTCAACACAACTCGTGGTAACATCTCCAACTCATTCAATACACTCTATTGGTAGATAGTAAGTTAATTTTGCCTATAATTTACCTCAGGTAATTTCATCTTTTTTATTTTTTTTAAATATCGCAATATTACATGCAGATATTTCACATATCCCAATTTGATATCGTGCAGGCCTAAAAACAATGTAAACAAAACACTAATGTCTAATCAGTGTTATCTGATAACACATCATTGAGGCATATCTGTGTGATGGTGCAAGGAGCAAGTGTTCTTCAAAAACAGCATCCATATCAAATAAGTTTTGTGTATCTTAGGAAAAAGCTTCTGGTCCTATAACTGCACTTACTATATGTTCCTGCACCTCAACGTTAAAGCATTATGAACCATATGGTCTGTGAAACACATAATAACCAGAGTATAAATACAATTGCTTGTCTTCTTAAAACAATCCAGAAGAGATCTATTCATTTTATGTTACTAAATTATTCCAAAACAATTTTTCATGGTTAAAAAAACAATACAGTAAATGCACAGTACCATGTATATGCACTGCCAAACTCCAACCCAGAGTACAGCAAATCTGAGAGAATTTATTCTTGTGAAGCAATATGGTTTAAAAAGGTGAGAATATATGCAGATAACTAATTACCATGTGCATGCAAATGTCCACCTCGGCATAACGTGGAATTTTCTAAAACACAGCAGAAAACCCACGTGGAAAGACTAACAAAACGAAACGGGTCTCTTACATGATTAGCAGGCAGCAGGGGGGGGCTGATATGGTAACGGCTACTGCTGGTGCTCTTGCTCTTCCTACGCGAGTGTTGCCCAGTATCCCATCTGCAGTCCCGCCCCATGTCCAGATCGTCCTGAATCATTAGGATCTTGCTGTCACTCCAGTAGTGTGGAAGGGAGTTATTAGGATCTGTAAAGAACAGGGGTAACACAACAGGTTGCCCTCACACTTCCACACGAGCAAGTACAAAACCTGAAAACCACTGAAAGTCAAAATAATATAGCAGGCAATGTCAGTGCCTGCAGATTTAGTTTAGGCTTTAAGCGATTGTTTATGCAATCAATTGCTTCATTAAATGTTTTCAGGAACCTGCATCCAACAACATCTGCAGCACGTCTGGTGAACATGATAAAAAGTATATTCTAGCAATTCTGATGTTCGTTGATGCTCTTTTTTCTTAAAAAAAATCTCACCACAGACTCCATGGATCTTCAGCCTCGATCACTGAGGCTATATGCCTATGCTTTCTTATGGAACTCCGAGTTTGACTGTATAATATATCTATGATTGATTGTGAAAATTAAATAAATGTATAATATTTTAAAGATAAGAAAAAACTGATCAAATGCAAGACCCCCCCCCCCACCCCATCCCGAGATCCCCCAGCTTTCCACTGATAGCCCTTTTCTCAGTTCATTTAGGTTACCCACCCTAGCTGGGCTTCGTACAATTTGCTTGCTATAGCATTATAAGAGAGCGTACACTGCACATCCCACTGTGATTCTGCCTCCTGCATAATATAATATGGAAATTAATAAGCCTTTTATTTACTGATGCAAGAGAGCAGCATTACAGATCTACTATGTTATCCCTCAAAGTATTCCATAAAAATACATAAAACCAAATAGTATAATACAGGATCGCAAAATAATTTTAACAGCTTGATACTCTGTCATGTTCACTGTTCTCACTTCACCCTCACAGGAAACATGGCTGAGTTTCAGTTCTGGTTACTGTTGCCACATTTGTACAACCTTCCTACACCTAAACTAATTATGCAATATAGTGATATAATTTCACATCATATGCAAAGAGATTTTTAAAATAGTATACACCCCAAAAACTTTAAATTGTACAGATTCTATAGAAAATTTTGTTACATTCGTGTGATGTTTTATAGGAATATTACACTTGTGCTGAATTTTTACCCAAAGATTTCTTGTTAAATTGGGCTGGACAGTCTGACTTGGAAAATTGTGTTGCTATTTGTAAAATTTGGATAAAATTGTCATGTTTTTTTCCTCTGTGGGCGTGTGCCTGTGATGTGGCGGGTTTATTTGTAAGGCATTGTCTGAAGTATTACGTCAGGGCAAAAGCAAAGCCATAATTTCCACTCAGAGGAAATGCTCAGAAAAGTGAGCATAAAAATAGCTGGGTTATTTTTTATTTGGCTTTGGTGTGAGGAGAGTCAAAACACAATGGAAAAGCAAGGTAATGTCACTATTATTATTCAAAATGCTATCTCAAGACTAATGTACTAAAAAATAAAGTTAGAAAAAAAGTAGCCACTCCTTCGTCATTTCATTTTCAGTCTTTTCATTGTACTCCCATGTTCTACTAACAAACAAAAATCAAACCGTTTAATTAAAAAAAGGAATTAAGTATGAAAATGGAAGATTTTATGTTGTGTTTTCATGATTGTGTTCAGTAGCATTTCTGATGTTGTATTTCTGTCTTTGGCTTGTGATGACTCCAGATTGACTGGGCAAGAAATAGAGAAGAAGGGCAGAAGGATTAATGTCCTGCAGCAAATTTAGACCAGCATGGATACAGCATGAGCCCCGTAGCTGTTTCCAATCTCTTACAATATCCGAGAAACCTCTTTTTCAGCATTACATGTACATGTATTGAACATGTATGTTTAATAATAAGAATAATAAACAATGATACATAGCTTTTAGCACATTTTCAGAAAAAGTATTGTTATTTCTATTCTATTCTATAAATCTGCAAGTTAAATATGTAAATGTTGTTGTGCACGGACACTACAACATGCCCTCAATATTTTTCTCCCGTTATCATCAACCCTTCAAATCAGTAAATTTAAGGGACCTATTGTTTGTTGTGAAACCAATTTCTCTTATCCATGACAAAGAGGTAAATTATATCAGCATTATACAAAGATTACAAACTACTAATACAGAGTACCAACCAGCCCTCTTTATCTCCCGTGAAGGAATGATAATGCATTGAGGGCATTAAGCCAATTTAGCAAATAAACAACAGGGAAACATTTATTTTCATTCCCGCTAAGATGCGATTGTGCTTTATCTTCAAATATAAAGTATGCTTTTTATTAAGTTATTCTTAATAATATATGTCTTCCTGCCAGACCACAGACACAGATATGTAACCCTGACAATTAATCATCAACAATTAACAAGTGCTGTCATCAGGAAAAGCTAAAATCCTCAGGAATGGCATTATCAAGGTGTCAAAAGCATTCCACAGAGATGCTGTATTGACTCATGTGGTCTTATCAATTGCCAGTCAAATTGGGTAAAATTACATTCATCACTTAATCAAAAGGTCATATGGTAGTTAATGTAAAGAAACACGGGGCAGTAAACATGCAGTAAGATGCACATGAAGTAAAACATGCTCATTATCTGCATTGTGGCTGGCTGTCTCATGTACTGAGAGCCCCGTCTTTTAGTGCACAGCGGTAACTGAGGGCTGTATCCACCTCTGCCGCTCGTCTTGTATAGATCTGGATCCCTGGCTCCTCCCATCCAGTTGCACTCCATCAGCACAGAACCGGGCCCTAGAAAGAGGTCCGGGGATTGTGTCGATCAGGTCAGCCGTGGAGAGAATGTGTTAAAGGAGTCAGATCTCAGCAGGGAAGGCTTGTGAGAGTGAGATAAGTGAAGGGTGAAGGGAAAGCAAAAAAAATGGGGGAGAGGCAGGGAATATGTATCAACCCCCACCGGAGAGTAATTTGCAGGGAATATCAACCCCCACCGGNTATCAACCCCCACCGGAGAGTAATTTGCAGGGAATATCAACCCCCACCGGTGAGGCCGTTGCAGGGAATATCAACCCCCACCGGAGAGGCTTTTGCAGGGAATATCAACCCCCACCGGTGAGGCCATTGCAGGGAATATCAACCCCCACCGGAGAGGCTTTTGCAGGGAATATCAACCCCCACCAGAGAGGCCTTTGCAGCAAATAGGCAAAGCAGTTAATAGGGAAATTAATAGCTCAGATAAATTGTACAGCTACCAGCCTGCAAAAGTAGTATTAAAATGTGCTTTCCCAGAATTATCTCGCCACCAGGAACCTTCCGGGCCAGAGAAACCTCAGAAGTTACACTTTCATGTGTCTAAGAGGATTAGTAAACATTGTGCCATTGTTACGGCCCGGCAGGTATCAGCTCTTTTCCCTCCAGCCTCTCCACTCTCGATGAAAAGCAAAAGCAAGACGATTTATAGAAACTCTGCAAGGCAACTCTGCGAACTCTGCAAAGGCTTATACTAATGCATTATAATGCATTATGAAGGTACCTATAGAGCATTATTGATGGGAGCTTCATAGATCATTCATGATGCATAATAAACATGGCAATATTATGTTATATCTTTTTCTAAATATTTATAAATTATGAATATAGTATAATGCATTATGAAGGTATCTATAATGCATTATGAAGGTATCTATAATGCATTATGATGACTGCTTTAAGTAAAGTGTTATGGGAAGTCTCACCGTGAGGAGGGGATCTCTCACGCCGAGGAAGCCATGAGGAATATCCCCTGTCATACTCTGGCCCCAGGGCCACCTCTTCATCCTCCACCAGTGGGAAGTACTTTTCATTTTCATGGTCAAGGTAGTAGCTGGGTGACTCTGAGCCCTTCCTGCCAAGTCTCGCTATGTTGTACTCATCGATATCATCGCAGGGAGTGACGTCCATCTCATGGCTATTAAAAATAAAGTCACGTTGCTGGTACATCGTAAGCTAACATGCTGACAAACAGAACTGCCAGTATGCCTTTACAACACGTATGATGCATACTGTAACACGCAAGCTGACATGTATGTTTATTATTATTATTATTATTATTATTATTATTAGTAGTAGTAGTAGTAGTAGTAGTAGTGGTAGTAGTAGTAGTAGTAGTAGTAGTGGTATTATATTTAGTTTATTTGAGATTCATTGAAGTTCCAAAGGACTCTCCAGAAAACTCAATAATAGAACAAAATTAAGCAGAATTTAGCTTTTTATAAATTACTGCCTCAAAACCCACTCATACTACAACTGCGAAGCTAAAAGTAAATACAATATGCCTATAAAATGCTAATACTTCTTCCAAGTTAAAAAACCTATTAATATTCAGATATTGCGATTCATTGTAAGATCAATGGTGCATTACAGTCCTCTGATTTAAAAGCTGGAGCACTGTATGCTTAATAATACCTATTGTTTGATTATATTTAAAATGTTATGATGGCAAAGGCTTCAGTTTTATTGTCAATTTACTATTTTTAGTGAACCTAAGAGTAGGTGACAATCGATGAAATACATTACCTGGATTCATAACTTCCAGACACAGGGGACATGATGAAGACGTCATGCATGTTGTAATTATCCGTCTTTGAAAGCATGTCCATGGTGCTGTTTGGGGTGCTGGGATTACTTGGGGGACTAGTAGGGATGAGCTACAGGAAAAAAATAGCATGTTAGTTGTAGTAGGACAACAAGCATCAACATGGGCACCTGCTGCTGTGCACAATGTTTGTACCCTTGGCATTTAAACTGGTTATAATTTGGCAAAGGTTTTGTTATGGTTTTTCTTTGCCTTTTTATATCTGCAACAGAAACATAAAAAAGAGGAATATTAGGGCTGCACTATTCTGGGTAAAAAATGAATCATGATATTGAATCGTGACATTTCACAGAGCTGAGATCACAATTTTCTCTCACAATTCTTGAGCAATATGCTTCTCTCTTTTTATTATTTTGCATTTCATGTTGGCTTTATGAAAACAGAAGCAACAATACGAGAGAGATGCAATAAAAACCTGTTGGTTATTATACCGTTTTTTTCTGGCTGATATTTATACTTTATCAATACTCAAAGTGAGCAGCAGCAAAACTACAAGTAACTACTGGACGATTACCCCCTTTCTGTAACAGTTACCACTTATTAGAGGTCTCCTGACATATTTGCAATTCATAAACATGTAATGTTATTCCGTAAATCCAAGCCTGCAAATACGGCAAGTTTCACTGCCGGAAACTCCCCTCCACAAACACACATACACACGCGCACACACACACCCTGCTCAATAAGTGGCTCAGAGATAAACTTATTATCAGTGTCGGCGATATTAGACAAAAAATATATCTGTTAATGGTATTAAAAATGAAGGATATTTAATCGTGATTAATCGAAATTAATCCACAGCAACCCTGTGATTAATCTGATGAAATTTTAATCGTCTGACAGCACTGGTTCTAATGTTAAATTGTGTTTTTTGTTCTGAGCAAATGTGCACTTACCACCCAGACAAATAGCTTTAAACATTTCTTTTGATTGCCTAAGACTTTTGCATAGTACTGTACACAAACTCACATGCACAAAACATTAAGGGGATAATTCATCCAAAGAAGTACATAGAAGACACATAAAAGGTAATTGAACTGCTTGGCATTTTAAACTGAAACAATTAGATCTACCTGCTCAGCTTATCAAAAATTTGCATTAAAGAGACAAATTTTGACAAGAAAATACAAAAAAAAAAGAGTAAAACAAAATAATGCAGTCTTTCCTAGAAACAGGTATTTAACACTGGACACAGACATCCAGAGACAACATGTATATGAGATGCACATATCCGATTCTACTTCTATAGACTGTGCTCTGCTGGTAAAGTAAGATCAGTTCAGCTAACAACAAACACCTGAGCAAAATTATCAGGAAGACCAGCTTCACCAAAAGACTGACCCTAGACCGATTGGAGGCAGCTGCACCGAAGCGAGAGAACATCACAAAAAGTGATGTGTCCCCTCCATTATCCCCGTCCACCATTAGCTAATGGATAATTTCATTATGCTTCATTAATGGCTCATAGGCAAGTGTGACCACGTCAGTCTAGTTACAGTGTTTTCATCTTTAACTTCCCCCATCAATAAACCAAGAACACCTGGATATGTCAATCTTCTGATCAATGCCCCGAGAAAGCAGTGACACTGTAGAATGCACTTTCCTGAATGCCCGCAACATCTCTGCCAGACCGCCTGGTTTTCCCGATAAAAAGTTATCCACTAGAAGCATTTCCATAAATACTCTACTCACACCTGCACTCTGATAATTCTTTTAAGCATCCGTCAATTGTTATTAATGGCATATTCAGTGCAAGGTTGCAGCAACCTTGGAGATTATCGCAGGAAATGAAGGGCACAAGCAGAGATGCCTATCGAATGCATGACACACACTCTCACGCACACTCTCACACACACACTCACACACACAAGTTGGTCTTCCTATCTAAATGGGGACCGTCCATTCATTTCTATGGGAAAAACCCTAATCCCAGTCACGACACCCTTAACCTCTACCCATCCCTAACCTCAACCATAAGCAACCAACCCAAATACAAGACTTTTGGCATTTTTACTTTTTTGATTGCATTCACAGATTTTTATAAAACTGAGGTTATCCAAATGGAGAGATGCTCAAAAGATGTCCCCAAAAGTAGGGAAATTTCAGGTTTTACTACACTTTGGGGACAATTTGGTCCTCAAATGTGATCAATGCAAACCCATACACACACACACAATTACACACAATGGGTAATTTCGAAACACTGCGCCTAGCTTTTTGGAATGTGGCAGGAAACTGAAATACCTGGAGAAAACCCACATGAACATCCATGTGCTGAGGAATCACACCACAGCCCTGGTCATAATGCGACACTCAGCTGCTATGCCACCAAATGTAGGGCAGATCCGTGATGCTCTAAAACCATTTTCAGTGCAAAGAATGCAGCAGCACTAATACTTCTATTCAGAGGCACATTAACACGGTTGAAATGGCTAAAACATATTTCAAGACCCTTGCTTCTGGCTAAAGATGATGGCCCAAATGCGTTTCCATCTGTCTATTCAGTCTCATGCCGCAAGATTTCATGAAATTACAAAATGATTGATAAAAATTGTTTAATGCTTTGGTTGAAAATTTGACCTCTGGAAAATTAGAACAGCCCAAGAAAACTCAGGGTTTGAGTTGTGTTTTGAATCCGAGGAAAGGGTGTATAGCAGCTGGGAGACGAGGGGCGACGCCCCCAGAATATTTATTCATCCCCAGTAACAAATAAATCTTTGTATTTAAATTATTAAGTCGTCCCCCAATGTCAAACTTTCTCCTTCGCCATTGTCTGTGGAGAATGGATGTCTACAAAACTAACTTTTAAGTCTTTCAGCCACAAATACAGTCACATCACTCATCTAGCATGGAGATTTGGTAGAAACTTAAGTAAAATTTATATTAAATGCATTTTAACCAAATATTTCAGTTGTGAGAAGACTTCCCAAGGGTCAGGATACCTCTTATCTTTCCATTTGAATAACAAGTTGGGTAAAAGAGGAACGGTGAATCCTATGAGTGAATAAGGTAGGTTTACCTGCAGGCCTAAGGGCTTCCAGCGCACATTCTTGAGCAGGCCTGGAGCAGAAGGTAAGGTATTCTGTGGCCTTTTCTTCAAAGTGAGGATCACACCATTGGGGTCTTCTTGCAAAGCATTAACTAGATTTTTCAACTGCCAGCCAACCTGCAGAAAAAAAGACACAAAAACCACATCTGGACTGTAGATAGACCAGAGCCTTCTATCGAAGGCTGAAAGCCTACTTGGTAAACATATTGTGGCGTCGGTTGGACCGAGGCATCGCGGGAGCAGAGAGAGACATGGAGAAAAAACACTCTTTGTTAGCAGTCCTTAAAAGGACTACAACAGACACCCAACGAGCACCAAAACCAAATACACAGCCGTGAAACACAAGGTTGTCAGACGCCGAACTGCAAGATGCAGACGCGGTGGGAGATTTACATAAGCTAAATACACGCAAGGATCGGACAGGGTGCACACAAGACACGGGCAAACACACGCATGACAATAGGAAATGCAACCATTAGCATTAACAACAACAATACAACAAGGGCTATTTACAATTGCACGGGGGGCATGCTGGGACATGCGCCCCGCCGGTGCTACAGTACAATATATCATCCAGCTCTATAACCAGAATACTACACACAATACATTTCTTTTCTGTTTATAAGCAACAGTTCTGGAGAATATTTTACCCTCCAATTTCATAAAATTTGGTCTATTTTACAAAAAGCAATAGAAGCGATCCACTTTTCTTGACATCATTTTAAAACCCCATTTCTGACCCTCAGACATAATGCAGACAGAAGTAACTTTTATGCAAATGTAATTATCAGGAGGAGATGGTACAAAAGAGGAAACAAGGCACAGTAACATATGCTCACTTGTAAGAATTTTTCAAAAATAACTAGTAATCCTCTGGAAAAATGTTCTGTGTTATTTTATTGTTTTAATATTTAAACACTCTCTGGCTTTTGGTTGGCATGAGCTATGTTATGTGTGAAAAAAACACTCCAATCCTTTGTAATTTCACTATACTAACAACAAAAGTATTTGCAGTCTTATTGTTTGGATTTATTTGCTGCATCCAGACGTTGGCAACAAACAATTAATGAGGGAAATAATTCATTCTGTATCTGAAAGTTCTAGATGTGAATGTCAGTTCATGCACATCAAATGTGCTTGTGCTCAGGTCAAAATATACATGGGTATATGGGATGGTGGTAGGGCTGATTTTAGGAGAGGTTTTGGAAATGGGTAAGCTGATTCACTTTGGCAGACATAAGTTCATACTTTACACCTACATGAAGATAATTTAAACATTCTTTGACTTTTTCACAGTACTGTATATAATGTATTAGCCACCCAAAATAACTTAAAATTTGAATATGATGACCAAGTACATTGTGTCTATAATTTGAAGTTACAATCAGTAAAATGTCTCAAAATATAAACTTTATGGACAGTAGGCATTGCTAGAGTTACAGCTCATATACTGTAGAAAATGGAATGTAGTTGTTCTAAATCTGAAAATAAAAGATGCATTTTTTGTCATAAGAATAAAATATTTATAAAAAAAGGATAGAAAAATAAAAGGGATGAACATTTTTGCACTAAAAATCTATGGTAATTTTAAAATGTATTGACTGAAGTAAAAAACAATTGGTTTGGTACATGTGGAATTGTTTCCCATGAAAATAATCACCTTTCAGAAAATCATTGAGGGCATTTTCCAGATTACTCGAGGTGGCAAATAAAAACACCAACCTACACAAATCTTGGAATGCAGAATAGGTGAACCTTCCAAACTCCGCACAGTCGACTGCCTTTTTGAGGCAGTCAGAATACTCTTTTTAGCTAATTCTGCGCATTCCTTCTCAGTTTCACTGATTATATCACCATATAGCCATCTATTGTGCTTATCAGGGTTTACCCTGCCCAGCAGGCCTGTTTATGAGCTGTGGAAAAGGAACAAAAGCACTGGACTTACCACAGTTTGATAGTTGACCTGAATAACTTCATCGCCAGCATGAATCTTCTTGCACTGGTCAGCAGGAGACTAAATAAGAAGAGGGGACTCTTAGCCAATATAGTTCATTAGAGATTTACAAGTTCGGAAGCAAATTCTGAACCCACAGGCTGTATTTAAGAGGTTGTTGGTTACAGGAAATAATCCACTAGTTAAAGATTATTTTCTTAGGAAATCCCTCTAACTTCATCTTCAGTTCTGTGTGTTCTTGTCATATGCTGTGCTTATTACATTTCAATACTCAATAGAATTATTTAAACTTTGCACAACAGATAGTGATTTCCCAAGTCATCCCTTTGTATTAATACTTCTCATATCTATCAACAATCAACCGTAAATCATGCTAATGAGTATATTTTATATGAGTATACTGTATATGCAAAAGTCACAAAAAACAAATTTCTAGGTTAATGATGCAGTTGAAGCTTGTCTTATTTACACAACTTTCTAATCACAAATGATTTACCAAGATATGTCTGTTGTCTTATGCCTAATGATCATGGACCCTAAGCAGAATTAAAAGGGACTCCTCATTCTCCAAACAAACAAACACATACTGTGCTTTGAAAGCTCATTAATTAAAAGAAACAGGACCACTGCTGCCATCTGCAAACACACAGCCCTCCATGTCCTACTCTGCAATTTCCCAGTTGTCACCGACTATTAACTATACAGCCACTAATTAATGGTTCCCAATTTTCGGCACTAATTGGGTACTAAATCAAGGCAAGAACACAAAGAAAGTTTTGTTACAAACAATGAAACAAAAGTAAGCGAATATCGGAGAAAACTACAACTTTGTCTCCTATTTTCTCTTTCATCCATATAAAATTCAACAGTGTAGCAGTATTATGCCGAAGAACGATAATTATGAAATGTAACTGACATCTTGGGTTAACTAATTTGCATATTTCTAGAAACAGGCATGTTTGCTTAGTTACCATTTAACCATAGAATTTTCTTTCAGTGTTTTACGTAACATAGAGAGTAATGTAGTGCATGACATGCTCTTATAGCCTGAAGGTTGGGTCTCTGTTGTGGTACCAACAAACAAGGTATTAAAAATAATTTCTACCATAAAATTGCCAGCTTTGTCAATAAATAGCCGTCTTGATAAAGCACCCATTTGAAATGACTTTTGCATCTGACCATATTACAGGCAAAAATATTCTTCAGACATTAAACCATTTACACCTTTTTTCCCTTTCCTTGGTTACTGGAGATCAATCTCCATGGTTACCATGGTGTCATAGCAACAAGTGTTTCCATAAGAAAGACAAATGAAAAAAATCAGGAAAATTATGACTATTGTTGACAATTCATGTTAACACAGCAATTATATGGTTGGACAACGATAATGTACTGAAAATAACATTGTTATTTGTATTCTAACTGCTGGAATGCTAGGAACTAACAATTATACTAATCTATTTAAACTTCTACAACTACTGTGTATTGACTCTTATCCTTGAATGAATTATTTACAAACACAAGCTGGCTAAATAAACTCGAGATGGTGTTTCTAGAATATTAGACAAGCTTTGAATGATTTAACTGGGTGGAACATAGAAACTTCAGATGTTAAATTAAGAAGGACCTTCCATCTTAATAATCCCATTGCAGAAGATGCACTTGTACATGTTAATTGCCGGTCACATAATACGCTTTTCACTTGGATAAGGAAGAGTAGCTGTGAGGATAAACCTCACTGAAGACACTTGTAGTACGATGCTGGGGGGGGGACACATGTCATACAATGCACTGGATAGGTTTAGGATAAGCTCCACTAGGAAATGCACTGGTTAGGATTAGGATGAGCTCCACTAGGAAATGCACTGGTTAGGTTTAGGATGAGCTCCACTAGGAAATGCACTGGTTAGGTTTAGGATGAGCTCCACTAGGAAATGCACTGAAACTAGGTTTAGGATGAGCTCCAC